CCTAAGACGGACCCCTGAGGGACACCGCTTTTCTTTTTTTGTCTTTTATTATATATGGCCTGTCATTTTTATGTATCATATCTCTAAAGCTCTTAAAAAAAACCAAACCAAAACAAGCAAATAAAAATAACAAACCTGAAAAACCCTGCGATACTGCTTTTAAGCCCTAATAAGCCATATATATACAGGGAATCCTTTAGAGAGCATTCTAGTGACTTAAGAGCTTGTTGCAGATCTGTTTGGAGAGTTCTATCTTAGTGGTTGTCTAACTCTGCTTGATTCAAATATCTACAAAGAGGGTATTTGAAAAATATTTGGTTTTTAAAAAAACTTTCAAGTGAAAATAAGAGGAAATTGTCCATAAGTATGAAACTTAGAAGTTCAACAATTTGATCTTAGATGACTTTTAGCTGTGTTTTCTAGGCAGTAGTCATGCTAACTGTATGTTCGTGCTTTCTTTGTTTGCTTTTTTTAGTGTTTTGACCTACATATTCATGATAGATGTTTCCTTGCCAAATACTGCTGCAACTAAATCTCCTCGTGTCCATGAATTTACTACCCGGATACTTGAAAATCTTAAACCCCTCATGGAAGCAGATGAAGAAATTCAGAATCATGTTATGGAAGAGAATGGAGTTGGTGAACAAGATGAGCGAACTCAGGGCATTAAACTCTTGAAAACTAGTGAGTCACTTAATGAGGTTAAGAAATGGGGGGTATTTTAGGACATGATGGTTGTACGGTTGCAGTACACAATTTCACCTCTCAGATCTGTACTGCATCAAGGTATCTGTTGTTTCAGGGTTGAGGTTTATAAAGTCACCTTTACAGAGTCAAACTACCAGTCTAGGTCCACTCTAACATGTGAAAATCTCCCAGGCGAGTCTCGCAATAAATTTGGTCTATAACTTGTTTGGGGATTATTACTATTTTTTATCTTCTTAATCAGTGATCATTTCTCTTTACAAAAACAGTTCTGAAGTGGTTGATGGCAAGTGCTGGACGGTCCTTCTCTACAGCTGTCACAGAGCAACTCCAGCTTTTACCCTTATTTTTCAAGGTATATGCTTTAATTGCTCCTTTATTAGTTATCTTTGATTAAAAAGGGATTTTATATAAATCAAAGTTCTAAGGGACTTTAAAAAGAAAACCTATGATGGTAATAAAAACTATGCATACTGAAGAGGCCTCAATGTTTTTTATGCTTATGTATGCTTACAGCTGGTAAACTAGCCTGTTAAATGGTTTTCTGACAGTGACGATCTGTAGGTAAATGCTCTGTACATGTGTAACTTGGAGGGGGAAAAGTGTTTAATTAATGAATGAGAGTATGTTGTTTCTTTTCTCAAACTTATCTTTAGTTGTTTTCTTTTGTTCTCTGATTTTACGGTTCTTCCTAAGTGGTGGTACTTCTCTAGTTTTTCCTGGCACCTCTATCCTTGTAGTCTTTCATGAAACTTGGTCATTCAGTGCTATGTATCTGAAATAATACATATTTGCATGCTCCAAAGCAGGTCTTGCTTTGTATAAACATCAGTTATCCAACAATAATGTATGTGACCAAAAAATAAGGGTTTATTATGGGAAAGTGACCTTGAAATACCGATGGAGCTTTGTCTCCATTTTGGACCTACATCTACAATATTAAATTAATGGGATTTGATACCAAAAGAATTGCAATGAGGAACCAGAGTGTTAACGGCACTCATTTAATCTTCCTTAAGAGTTTCAGACTAGCCGTGATGCTTAGATAAGTAATATATGGTGCAACGAGCAAGGTTCTCTTGATTCTATTAATTTGTTTCTACAGCTCATTACTGAGAATATTTTAATGTTATATGGAATGTTTTTCCTAGTTAACTTAATCTTTCTGCATTATATTGATTGTATTTTTCCTAGACAACTGTCGTTTTGTAAGATGAAACTTTCTGTCAGGATTTTGCAGTTAGCAATGTTTATTTACTAACACTAGCCTTTTATTTTTTCCCTCTCTTATCTTGTTCTATAGATTGCACCGGTAGAAAATGACAATAGCTATGATGAGCTCAAAAGAGATGCTAAGATGTGCTTGTCCTTAATGTCTCAGGGTTTGCTGTATCCTCAGCAAGTGCCTTTGGTACTTCAGGTGCTAAAAGAAGTGAGTATGGTCTAAATAACTTAAGGCTTCTTGTTACCTGATGCACTCTGTGCTTTTTTTTTTTTAAGATTATGCAATTGTGATTTAAAGATAATCAAATACTGGTTTTTTTTTTTAGAGGTTATTAGAAGTGTTTTAAAACATTTTTAGAAACAGTAAATGTGTTTTTCTTTCCTCTTTCCAAACATTTAAACACCTTGTATTTTGATAAGAAATTGAACAGTATTTGAGTAAATTAAAATCTGGTTCAGTAGTGGATCAGTTTAAGCCAAACACGTCTCCTCATAAGCATAACAGTTAAAAATCCAGTTTCAAAATATGTTGTCATATAAAGAACTGCCCTTCAATCTTTTAGAGTTTTACTGTATATTTATCAACTGCTACTGCTTTCTGAAAAACAACATAAATGAAAACACACTCCTGAACTGAATAGTTCATTCTGTATGCAGTTTGTCATGTTAGAAATATTGGGGTTTTTTTTCCTCTAGTCCTTCAAGACTGATCTATAGTAATAAAACTACCTGTTGGTAGTAAAATGTTGGTCTGAGCTGTACACACAGCCCAACTAGGAACTGCAGTGTTGCAATCCAGTCTGTACCCACACCTGATGCTTGCAGTCATTTGGACTTCCATAAGGACGTGGAGATCAAAGTAAAGAAACTTGAAAAAGCTTGGCTTTCCAAATCCATTGTATAGACTATATATACTCAAGCAGAATGGAATTTCTGGTTTATTTATATCTGCCTTATGACTGATGTCAGGAATGAATCAAAGGGAGAAACTTGCCTATGTTGTTTTTTACAGTATTGGGTATCTGCTAAATAATTAGGTATCTGTTAAATAACAGTATGCTTTGGAAGTTAAACCTGTAATAAATTATTGTCTAAATAATAATTACGTGCTTTGGAAATTAAAGAGTGTATGAAACAAAAATATCTGAATAAGGGAAGGTTTTTGCAACTGTCTCCAAAAGCTGCTTCTCAAATATTGTTAGCTTTACATCAGGTAGCTGCTTTCTTTCACATTCTGGCCTTCTCATAATTACTTGCTTATATTTGTAGACAGCAAGAAGCAATTCTTGGCATGCTAGGTATACCATATTAACCTACCTCCAGACCATGGTGTTCTACAATCTCTTTATCTTTCTCAACAATGAAGAGGCAGTCAATGACATTAGATGGCTGGTTATAAAACTCCTGGAAGATGAACAGCTTGAGGCAAGTAATACCTTTTCTGAAATGCTTTGTTTCACCTGACTGGTTTCTTGCCCTTGTCAAGTTTTATGAAAAAGCTACTGGTTGTAAATGAATACAGCAAGTGTTTCTAGCTTAGCATTCTTCCTATTTTGAAAATAAACTTTATAGGATTTATTTATTTCATATTCCATTTTTTCTTTTAATATTCATTCCAGGAAGACAGCTGTTTAGACTATACTCCATTAGTGATTTTTAAAAAGTTCCATTGATCCTACTTTTTCAACAGAATGGAACATGGCTTTGTTTCATTCTTGGTTTAAGTACAGCTGAAATAGGCATATTGTAATTTTACTATAAATACTAGCATGGATGTTGGTAGAAAATTCAACTTCCAACAAGGTAAAATGCCTTCCTGTGTGAAAACTGTATAAAGCCACTTTTTATTACTGTTTTCCATTTAATCATACCAATTTATTAATGACAAAAATACTTTTTTTTAAAATACATCCAGCTCACTAAGGAAGTATTTGTTTAGTTACAAGTAGGTTTTCCTTAGTTCTCAGAAAGATGCATGCATAGTAGGACAGAATTAGTCTAGCAGATGCCGTTACTGATGGTGTTACTTGATTCAAAAAATATAATAGTAAGTTTACTTGTCACTCTGGACAGGGTTTTGTGTGTTTCTTGAGCTAGTGATACTTCAGTGTATACAAATGAGAGGACATAAAATCCAAAATCTTGGCTGTGGTACATGTGTACCTTTGAAGATCCCTGTATGTATGCACAGAATGCTCTTAGAAATGCTGTCAGAATCATAAGCTTGTTTTCAGGAGGAAAAAAAAAAAAAAGGCGCCTGACGTCAATCATCAGGTCTTTTTTGTCAGGCTTTCAAAAGCTGGGGAAACATCACAGAAGTATTTTATTCTGTATCACTAATTCACAGAACTGAAGGCTTGTATTAAATGATGTGTATTTAAGAATGTTTGATCATGTTCAAGCACCGTGAAGAACCTTTTTTGCTAACCTACATTGCTTCCATTTCCTCAGCGCCACCATTGTCACTGTTTTTTGTGCTGTTGGCAAATATCAGTGAGATACTACTTTTAGGTGCTTGGGTGCTTTTTTTCTTTCCAGAAGAAAGAAGGTCCTTAAGTATGATACCCTTCTGCCAAAACAAAGATCCTGGTTTAGGTCTTCCTGAAGCTCCATTTAAAACAGTAGTTATAGCTGAGACATGAAGCTTGCTTTTGTGAGCAGTGAATTGAAAATAATTTCAATATACAAATTAAAATTTTTGGCTTAAAAGGTTTGACATTACATGCACTCTGTAACAGCAGTTGGACTATTCACCCAACCATGCAAATTTCAGTCTGCAGATGAGCTCTCATGTCTCCCATGTCACTATTTGTTCCAGTGAGCTGGAAAGCAACAGCTTGCACTCCTAAATAACTTGTTTCCCACACCAGTCAGAACACTTACCTCATAATCTCATGTCATTTTGAAAAATACCTTTTATTCACTTTAATACAATTAATCTAGTTATTTTAAGTGTACAAAATTATTCTTCTGCACTACAGAGTTGCAAATCAAAAAAGCTTGTCTATGTTCATAACCACTTATGATCATATAGTTACCATGGAAGCTTTCACTGTTCTTTGAAAAGTGATCTTGTTTTTTCTTGATAATTGAGTAATTCACATGTATTTTTTTAATGCTGCATTTTAAAGATGAGAATCCCTAGCTTTAATTAGTATTTGGTGTCTTTACCCTGTAGAACTGAGATTTTTTGGTTCTTGGATTTAAAGGTACTTTTTTTTTTTTTCTTATGTTGATACTGTTGTGCTTTAAACCCAGACAGTGGCCAAGCACCAAAACCAGGATAATTACAAAGGTGCCAAACCTAATGATTCAGCCCATCTTGTTCTTCACTTTAATATACATTTTGCACTTCTAGTATTGCTAGAATTACATTCTCAAACTTTCTGGTGATGTCATATTTTTTCATATAATCATTGCAACAAACCTTGGCAAATGACACTGTCAGATGACAACACTGAATGTCAAATCTCACAGTGTGACTGCAATGCAGAGTGAATGTGGCTCACAGGAGTCTGGCTTCTGTTGAACACAAATTTCATGCATCCAACTTGAAGCATAGGTCACCAGAATTGAAGAAAGCTGTACTTAAGTAGTATTGTGGAAATTCTCCTTCTGAAAGTCAGAGGAGTTGTGGAGCTGATAGAGTACTATGAATGTAAGACCTAATGTAACCCTGCAGCTGATAAAGGGAAAAAGTCTACAGTCCTGAAAAAGAATGCTGTGTTCAGCAGTATAACCACCATTGAATATCACATCTAATTTTCATGTCATTCAGGCAGTTTGAGAGAGCTGCAGGAATTATTTGAGTTTGGGAAAGCATGTTTTGCACTAAGTAATTCTGTTTACTCAGAGGTAGAGGAAAAATGAAAATGACTGTATTCAACTTGGAGTTATGGTTGAAGTGGTAGCCTAGTTAAGGTGAAAGCATATTTCTTACAGTTTTCCCAGCCATAATTTGATCTAGGAAGGTGTCTGGGTAGGTGCTTCATATGTTTATATTTTTATATATCAGTGTACTGAATACATGGCACTCACGTCTTGATAGACATTTTTCATATTACACTGCAATATTGCAGTAATGGGAGTATTTTCTCTTTGGGTAGGTTTTCCTGTGCAAGTATTGCACTTAGGCTTTACTTGTGCTGTTGAGTGTTCTTGTTCTCGTATTGTCACAGTTTCGTAGACCTTGGTCAGTCAGTTCTGACAAAAAACCCAAACAAACCATACTTGGTTAGAAGAGTATTCCCCTGCTACTCCTCTGTAGTTTGTATATTCTATAAGCTATCATGTGAGTATGCTGATCTGTAAATTATTCAGTGTCAGATGTTGTGATGAATGTTTAGCTTGTTAATGTATGGTTTTAAAGGCTTTGCTTCTAGGTGCTCCTTGCAGCAAAGTGTTCCTTTTAGTCAGATTATTAATTTAGAAATGAAAGTGGGTTTGATACAGTGAATAGTGATGTAAACGACTACAGCTCACGTGGGAGCTTGCTCACTTTACAGCCAAGCTTCTTACTATTCTGGGTCTTGCATTAGCACATCATTTTTCATTTAATAGCTTAGTTCTTAAGAGACTCACAAACTGCCGATAATGCTGACAGACTTTCACTTCATACTACTTCATGCTGTTCAAGTAGATCACGCTTGAATAATATGTTGTATAAATTTAAAAGGAATGAAGTGAAGTCTCAAGAGCTTATTGTTAACTGTGTTTAATTATTGCAGCACTTGCAGCTATACTTATTGCTTTGTGGAGGTTCAGAACATGATGTTCAAGGATGTAATTAATTACAATCTACTGCATTGAATTCAGAGCGTTGGTAGGTGTTTGTACTCCAGATAGACAAATGTTCTGTTTACAGTTACGTGTAACAGTATGTACTTACCAAAAATCTGGAGACTGCTGTCAGCATCTCAACAAGTTGATTTGGTTTTACAGTTTGTAAAGGTTGGGAGTTTTTTGTCAGCCTGCAACTATTGAAAGTGGAAGTGAGCTTAAATATGGTCTTCCAGTTCTATAACTTTATGGCTTGGGAAGATTTGCGTAGATGAGATAAATTGGTAAAACTGCTTGGTTATACTCGGTTTTAAAAAGGAATTTGAGTTTTCTCTACTTGTAATCCACTAACAGTGTGTTATGGCTGTTTTAAAAGGAACAGAAAAGGAGATCTGTATTTGGAATTGTTTGGCAATTAGATGAAGGTTTAGTTTTGTCTGGTTCTTTTGAGTTTGTGTTACTGAAGAAAAGAATATTTTCCAACCTGGAATTCTGGTTTTTATTTATGTAGTGAAAAGAACTGGTACTCAGGACAACAAAGTAAATAATGTTGGAGTGTTATAGAACTGAATTGTTGACCATAAGCCACTGAAGTTAGTTGTCATTGCTTATTAATCCAGCATCTGTTGTATCTCACAAATAATTCTTGTGCTACGGGTAGAACAGAACCCGCTTTGTCTCACGAACACACCTTCTAACTTCTCTTGGAAAGGCTTTTCTGCCTTTGTCAATTCTTATGTCTCCACATACATTTGAGGGGAAAACGAAATGCTTTTGAATGAAGTATACTTTTTTTGCTTGGTAAAACTAATGTTAATACAGAGACTATTGTAAATTTTGTAAAGCAGGTTGATTATTTGGGGTGGGGCATCTTGTTCTCATTCAAAGTCTGCTTTTAAACTTTCTGAAGTTTATCTAGTCTGATATGTCTTCACAATGAAGTGTAATTATATTATTTGCTCGAGTAGTAGGTCACTTCATGACAAATTATGTGAAGGTATTTCTATATTACATTAGAAGTATGTTTACTAGTTTGTAAAGAGCCATATAGTAAACTGCTGGTAGTTTATGATCAATAAGATAACAGGATAATCTTTTCAAGACTTTACTTGGGCAGAGTTTGGTAATTTGGCCTGGCTGGATGTGCTTAAAAGGATAGTAGTAGCATAAATACCTGCTTCTTGCTGTGTATGTGTGCTTAGTAATTGTGGTGTGTACTATCTCTGCTTGCAGGTGAGAGAAATGGCTGCTACCACACTAAGTGGTCTGCTACAGTGCAATTTTCTCACTATGGATGGTCCTATGCAGACCCATTTCGAACAGCTGTGCAAGATGAGGTTACCGAAAAAACGAAAGCGAGATCTGGGTTCTGTGGTGGATACAATTCCTTCTGGTGGTAAGAAAATTGCTTCAGAGACTAAAACCATGCATGTCGATAGCAGGTTAGGAAGAAATACATATTTTGTTCTACGCCTAAATGGTTATTGTGGAAGCACTCCAGATGGAATAGGATTTGTCCTGTGGTTAAGCAGTATTTTGAAAATTAACATATACTCAGAGAAACATAAGGCTTCTTGACCATGCAAATGTTCTTCCTTGCTAAGCATTCATAAACCATAATGGCAAATCACCTTGCGTACATTACTATCAATTTCTGTGTATGTAGTGCAGATCCTAATCCTTGTTAAGTGATTCAAGAATCTAATTTACCACATAAATTATGAATAAGACACTACTACCAAAAAAACCAAATAATGTTTTCTATGCTGTATTACTACATTAAACTAATTTATTACTTTTCCATAATTAACACTAAAGAGATTTCTCTATTTCCCATGTGCACATTTCCCATAGTGAAGAATGATGAGGGATAGATATTTTCTCAGTAAATAAACTTTCGTAGCTGCCACAACATAATTTCAATCCTTACCCACCTTACCTTCTATTTGTTAGCAGTGTAATTTTTTTCTATTCTATCACCCCCCAAAAAAAGAAAAAAAAAAAGAAAAAACAAAACAAAACAAAACCAAAAAAACCCCCCTTAGTTAACCTGAGTTAGGAGATTTGGCTTCTGAACAAACATTTATTTCATCTGAGTCACATACATTTGACCCAAAAGGACTGGGTTTCAAATAGTTCCAGTATTTGAGAGAACATTCTGAACACAGAAATAGGGAGCAGTGGAGGTATAGTTTATGAGCTATTTACTGACTAGAGAGAAAGATTCTTTGCGAGAAGGAAGCTCTTTTGAAATGTTTATAAAGTATACTGCAGTTGCAGATGAATTTTTTTTTTACATATTCTTCTGTGTAAGAAAGCAGAAGCAATTTGGAGATCCATACACTTTTGTGAATTTATTTGACCATATGGTCTGTAGAACTGTCTGGCTTTCTGTAGAAGCTAGAGATCTCTACTGTGGTAGGGTTGGTTGTTCTGCTTTTTTTTTTTTTTTTAATTCAGGGTCAAAACTCAATATTAGTATGTTATGCTAATTAGCTCACCTCTGTTTAATGTATAGGCTCTCTTCAGTCATTCCCACCAACAATAATAGCTTTATTTTCACTGATAACCAGTTTTAAGTTTGGCTGTGTCACTGAACAACGTCTTAGATAGTTGCACCTTGCCAAATGTAAACTTAACATCCTGCAATTGCAGACCTGGTTAAACGTCATGCTGGTGTGCTAGGACTTAGCGCGTGTATTTTGTCAAGTCCGTATGATGTGCCCACCTGGATGCCACAGCTCCTGATGGATCTCAGTGCCCATCTTAATGATCCTCAGCCTATTGAGGTAAAAATACTTATAATTTTTCTATTCAATATAACACATCTAAAATACACTTGACTCGTTCTTAGTTCCCCTTTCCTGGAAAAAAAAAAAGAACCTATTAAGGAACTTAGTTTCTGCTGCTTTTTATTAAAAGGTTCCAAATATTTTTCAATCATGGACTGCTTTTAAGTATTTTTAGTGGTAGTTCTGTTCTTGCTTTCAAATTTAAAGCATAAACTGAAATCAGGTTATAGTCTTTTTTAATTAGAAATGTCACTTCTGTGCATGCCATTGTAGAAAATATCAACCTGAACCAAAAGTAACTCTGAAATTTTTAAAACAAGGTTTTACGAGCAGCTCTAGAAACAAGTTCTTAATGGTTACCTTTAACTCTATTTTTTTGCCGTCAATTCGGTTTTGTTGACCTCTGCTGTTTTAATCACAGTACTGAGCTTATGACTGAAGGATTCCTTAGATTTAACAAACTTTTGCTATGATGTGCGATACTGAATCAAGAAACTGAACTGATTGGACTTTTATTTTGCTAATTTAATAATAATATTAATTATTTTAATAACAGAAGATAGTTTTCCTCTGACTTGTTTCTTCTGTGCACGTTATGTGATTCATTAACTCTTTCTCTTGTTTTGAGACCCAAACCATTAGTTGGAAGTACCCTAAGAAAAGGAAGAGGGGAAAAGCATTTCACTTAGACTTTATCAGAATTTATAATTTTTTCAAACTCAAACTTGTAGGTCAAAAAATCCTTTTTATAAGAAAGCTGGAATCATGACACTGGTCAAAAGACTAATCAGAACTGTAAAAATTAAAATACTGGGGAACTGGGATGAATTTCCCAGAGCCTTTCTAACCTTTGTAACTGCTCAAACACTTTGCCCTACTCAGCAGTTATTTCTGTTGTATTGCAATGTTTGTTTTGTCATGGAGCTTAAAACCATAACTGATACAGATGAATACTTATTGTCTGCTATATAGATGACTGTGAAAAAAACACTGTCAAATTTCCGGAGGACCCATCATGACAACTGGCAGGAGCATAAACAGCAGTTCACGGATGACCAGCTACTAGTGCTTACTGACCTCTTGGTTTCACCATGCTATTATGCATAGATAAGTAAGTTTCTTTGTTTTGACATAAATTGGCAGCAACATCAGTCTTACAAAGTCTGTCTCTCTAGTTTAGCATGGAGTAAGGAGGAATCCCTAAACCACAGGGAGAATTAAGTCCCTTGCACCTGCAGCAGTCTGTTCAGGATCAGATTTATTTTGGTTAAATATTGTCCATCTTTTGGTGTGTCCCTGTATTACACTAGTATTTTGCTAAGACACTCTCACTTGTTTTCTTCAGTGCTGATGTTCCTTTTCTCCATTTTCTGCCAGTTGGCTGCCTTTTAAGTGCCTGGCAGTTTCACTAAAGGCAAGGTACTTGCTGCTTTGTACTTCTGGTGCCTCTGAGGACTTTAGCCTGCCACCTAGTCCAGTCTGTCATCTAGATCTCCTGATGGGGAATGACTGCTGCCAAACTGTTTCCTCCTCCACATTATGGCTTTGATACTGGGTCTCTTCACACAGGCATGTCCCCAAAGAGTCAGTCCATTCCTGGAGTTTCTCTTTGTTACGCTACAAGATTCCAATTTCTGTTGTATTGTGATGTTTTGTGACAGTATGCCAAGAGAATTATTAAGTTATATTTTCATTTTGTTCTGTGGCAATAGCATGAGGCAGTAATCTTGTTTTAATTCTTGTTTTGAATTCTTTCTTCTTTCTTTTCAGGTTTCTCCTGGAAAAATGAGGATGTAGGAACCTTTCTGTGAAATAAAGGAAACTCAAAGAAATTTTTCATGTCGCAAACTCGGTGTTGGAAATCCTGATGCCTAATCAAAACCACTTTTAAATACAAACATAAAGACCTGGTTCTACTCAAAAAGAATTTCACCTCCCCAGGGAGCAGCTGTAGGAGCCCCACAGTCTCCTCCTAACTGTGCTTGCAGAGCCTGATCGTGAGTTTATTACAAGACCCTTGTCATTGGCCTGCATTACACATCAGTCTTGTTTCTGCTTTCTTGCACACAGTGACTTACACTGCACATTTCTGATCCTCTTTTTCCAACTCTTCTTCCCAGCTGTTTCCAACATCAAAGATATGCAGAACCAGAGAGTGCTGCAAACCAGAATATTGTCAGTGAAGCTCTCCAATCCTGCTGATGCAACTTCTTACCTAGTCAGAATACCAGGAACCTCTCTTTCTCAGAGTTTATTTTTCACTACTTGGATTTGAGTGCCCATTAGTTGATGGGCTCTGTATCATCCAGTCCACCTCAGGGCAGGATTGCCTTTTTGTATCTTCCTTGTCCAATTGTAAATAGCTGATCTTCTCTGTGCAGTATAGACAATGGCAGGACAAAACAAGGGGAGTGAAAGCTCTTACTGCCTGGCTAGGTCTTCATAGATAGCTTGACCAGGTGTGGAGTAAGAATCTATAGTTATCTGCATATTTTTAAGGGTGAAAGACTACGCGTGTTTCCACATAATTAGAGCCCATAGAGATGAAATTATGGGCTATCAAGTGATGGTTGAATTCACAGAACGAAATATATGCACAGTGTGAAAAAGCACTGAATGGCTGACTATTTTTAACAGCATATTCTCATAAAGATTGTCACTGTTTGAGCAAGCATATCTTTTTCGAAGATTGTGGAAGCTCTGTATTATTTTTGCCTGCAGCTTTGTTCAGAGACTGATATCTGTTGGCTATTTAATATGTTACATAGTTGTAAAAGACTGTATAAATTGTAGAGGCATTGCATTGAAAAAACATTGTACAGTTTGCAACCTTTTACATAACACCATTGTGAGATTAATTTGTAAAGATTCATACTTAGATGTTAATACGGTAGTAGTACTGGCTTTTGTATCAAATCAAATGCCATTATTAGTTTTTTAAATTATTTTCTTTAACAGAATATCTCTTCATGTCTGAAAGGCGGAGGTTTTGTTTTGGTTTTCTTGTATCTCATTATTTACTGTGTCTCATTCAGATTTTAATGCAACACTTGTGGCCATCTCTAAATGCTGACATCACATATTCTAGTGTGATAAGTTCACAGAATGTGAGGTACATTGAAATAATTCATAAACTAGTGTGTGTTTCAACTTTCATGCAACCCTACAGGAGCACTGATACATTTTGAGTGATCTACCTGCCGAGTGTGTGACTCATTCCAGACTTCAAAGCACAGCAATGTTCCTGGTGCAGTATTTAATGAGTGTCAGCACACAGATGTAACCACTGTATAGCATAGTGCCAAAATTATTATTTCAACTGTGTACGTAGTTTAAGACCCAATAAATGGATTGTTTGTAACATCTGCATTTTTTGCATTTCCAAAGTGTAAATTTCTTATTTTGAGAATATAACTTAAGGTTGTTTACTGTGCTTTTGAGCTTTGTGTATGAGGCATGTGTTTATCGTGGGGCTTGGCAGTGAGTTAAGGTAACATTAAGGCTTAATTAAAGATCCAGTTCTGGTGGTTGGGAAACTAGCTTTTATGTTTATGTAAAAATACCTTGTACCTGGTGAGGCTTGCAAAAAAACTTACTAACTTCTGAGAAGTACACTTAAAATTGGCGAAAGTCTCCCCAAGCAATATGCATATGTAATGAGTTGTAAGCTTTCCACCACTTTGTCCTATGCTGTCTTTTCGCTAAAGCCTTTGAGATGAAACAACTGCACTATCTCAGTCTGGAGAGGGAGAAATTTCTAGTGTGAGGAGAGAATTTTTCCCCTTGAACAGTAAGGGAGATAGAAAATGTTGGAGGTGGTCTGGTATCCTTGATAAGCCTTAGTGACCACCTGTCAGTCTGCACCAGTAATTCCAGTGACCATCACTGAAGCACCAAAGAACAGCAATGATGGAAGGCAGAATCAGTTTTGGTTTTTTTGCTTGAGTCGCAGTGACTTAACTGTTTAGTAACTGTCTTGCTAGAGGATTAAGACTGGAGTGATCCTCCTGTATTTTCATAACCAAGTGGGTATATTTGTGCATGTGAAAACCTGCTGAAATCATAGCAGAAACATAATGCTTATTTTGAAAATTACCAGGCGAATAAGACTTAAACTTGTGCTTTTGGGTGGCACCAGAGACTCGACACTGTTGGATTGTATTATTAACAAGTTGAACTAATCTGTATATGTATTTTTTTAAAAAATGAAAGCGAAAAAGGTATGAAGGTAATTATTTCTGGTATGGTATATTATGACTGTATTCCTTTTATGTCCAGGTATCTGCCCTCTCATCCTTTTCACATCTCTGACAGGCTGCTGGAGTCCTCCGTGTGGCAAACACAGATGATGTCTCCCATCAGTTTTTCACACTTAGGCATTGCCAGCATCCCACACTCCATTCAGTCTCGCACTTTCTTCCACAGCTTCCCGGAATCCTGCTGCAGAGACTCCAGCTTCCTTTTCCACTTTGCTGTGGAAAACAATAGTCTGTTAAGATATAAAAAGGGAAAAAAAAAAACCAACTTAGCAGTCGAAAGTTCTGCTGGCTGCTGTCCTTGCAAGATTTTAGCTTTAACTCTGCGGTAAATTACCAACTAATTTGTTTTATATTCTCACTGGCATTGTACAGTAACTGGAAGGCAACTTCTTTGGGTTCCCCATCACCAAATACTTGCTGTACAGTCACACTGCTGCACAGGCTCTGGAGAGCCAGATTCCCAATAAGAGGGAGAAATTTTGCTTGAACCTGATCTAGACTTCCAGGTTGTCTGCAGGCTAGAGGTAATCATGCTTCAGGGAAGGGTTTTTGTGTTGATTAATCCAACAAGGTACCCGGGGCACTAGGGCAGCAGTAATTTCACACTGCAAGGAATTGGAGGCTTGATTATGGAAGAAAATTAAACTGTGTGGAACATGTAGAGTTGTTTAAGGTAATGCACACAAATTACAAGCAAGTTGTAGTTGGTTTGCACTGAGGGTATTTTCTCTCTCTTGGTCAACAGGTGCTTCTCAGAGCTATTAAGAGAGATTTAGAAGGGAAATTCCATGAGCTGAGAGGAAAAAAAGGTTACTATTCTCTCCCTGGGAAGGGGAGTGACTTGGTAGTAAAACAGTTTTGAATTGATTCTCTCTCAGCACAGATTAAAAGCTTCAACTATTGCCTAGAAAGTTCATTAGCAAAATTATCTTTGATTTCTGATGGATTAGAGTGCAGTGCTGAGAGGAATTAGTTGCATACTAACAAGGCAGCCTTTTCAAAGGGTGAAAAGAAGAAGGGAGCCTTGCTGGCCACGATCCTTTTCTGATTCTAGATTAAATGCCTTTTTCCGCAAAAGGCTTGTGGCAGTTCAGCATGCTGTCCCTGCTTGGGCTCTTAGCACCGTCACTGCCACAGGTGTTTTGTATCAGTTATCATTTCTGATTAGCATACTTTGGAAAAAACAGCAATAAACCCAATAAATGTGTGTTAGCAATAAATCTAGTGAGATTAGCAATAAATCTAGGTAGAAGCCTAGGTAAGTTCACACAGAAAGGAATCTCTTAAGAAACAAAAGCTTTTAACTGATACTCTTCTCTCCTGGCTTTTGTTCCTCTTTTCCTGGGTTAATTTTCCCCTTTTATTATTCCAGCATCTTTCTGCTACAGCTGTTTTTGTTAAAATAGTAAGGTGCTGCTCGTAGGCTGAGATGGCAGCAGGTTGCCACAACTAAAACTAATTTCAAGTTTCTTGTGGTAAATATCTGCAAAACTTGACACTACTGCAAAAAATGTCTTGGGAACACAATTCCTCCTTATGTAGTAGGAACTCCAAGGCTGAAAAATATTTGAGAAGCTTGATAGTACCAAAAGCACTGGGGTTTTTTTTTAATTAGCTTAAGGAAAGGCTTATGAGTGCTGTAAAGAAAGAGTTAATATCCTCGTGCAAGGTGCTGCAAAAGTTTTTGCTCTTGTGATTTCTGCCTTGCAAAACTGAGACTTTTCTTCCCCGCCCCAAACTTTGGTAGTTCTTTTAAAAAGGGGCAGGCCTGTGAGATGTTTTGCTGTGCCAGAGGGACCATGCAGCGCTTTGTGTTTCCATGGAGATCTTTTTTGCCTCTGCTCATCC